GAAAAAGAATAAACTAGTTTTATTTAAGAAACAACTTGTATCGCTAAAGTTTCTTGGGAAGAATTTTCACGGAAAATTAACAAACGAACAGAGACGTAACAATATGTAACGGTCTGTCAGATGTTAAGTTATGGTATATTCGCCAATTGTCAATTAAATGCTTTTACTTGTACTTCTAAATAGTATAAATATATACTTGTTGTTGGGCTTAGTATTTTTCTACAGTACGTGTTTGTGACTTGTTGGCGATAAATGAACAGCACGCACTCCACTTGTTTTCATAATTATATATATATATATATTCGGAAGAAGTTAAACGTATGTACAACAAATTCTTTATACTATAGAGATTATAGGCATATCATAAACACTATATATATAGTTCTCTTCTTGTTGTCAAAAGGCTAATTATGTCTATTCAGTTATTTTATAATTTCAGTTGACAAGCCGAACTACCTTTCTATAGTATTCCGTGTATAATTCACTTGCTATTGTGGTGCAAGTTATCACAGTCGTATAATTCTCTGCCAGTAATTGTTTGGTTTTCTTTCTTCAAAATATCTCCTGTTCCTTTTGTCAAAGTGCACTCAGGTTGATTCAATTACTTTAGATCCACGTTTTGACGGAATAAATTATTCTTCTTATCTCATTTTCTACTATTAGTCTTACTCTAACATATTAAACGTTAGGCCTATCACTTCTACGGCAGTTAAATTCACGTTTAACTTTTCCCTGGCCGTGACTTTACTCTCTTCTGCTATTGTTTGTCTGTTGTCTCCGCTCGTCTCACACTATTTATATGTTTATCACTTAATTTTCTGCCCGCTTTCTAGAAATCTCTATATTCTTGACGTCAATGTATTGCACGCGACATTCGATAGTCTCAACATCAATGAATTAAAAACACAACTTCCAACAATCGTCTGCTTTATAACTTTCTTATAATAAAAAAAACAACTAAACAATCATAAAATATTAACCCACAAAATTAATTAATTAATAATATCTACACTAAACAGTCTGTTATAACATAACTCAATCACTACTGGTATTTGATTAAAGTGAATCATTAAAGAATAAAATGAATTTTAGGTGCCCAAATTGGCGAAATAAGATTGAGCACAATGTAAAACAAACTGTAAAAACTATACTCATTTATTTCTATATCTAACACACATTAAAGTGCAACTGAATGGAGGCAGGATGAATGCATTATAGTATGGTACTTCACTTTGAATGGATGGAAATCTATGTTAGATGAAAACTTAAAACAGTTTGAATAAGAAAGTGTTTATTTGTAGTTAAGCTCAAAGTACGCAACTTTTAGTGCTTTAAATATGTATACGTATGGCTGAGCTATTGGGGTGGGAAGGGCAATAAGAAAGAGAAAGCAAACCAGTATATACTTGCATGAAAAGAATAAATTCTCTCAGAGTGCATGTGTTAACTATGTTATCTGGCTATTCAATAATAGAAATAGGGAGAGCAATAATATACAAGCATTTCAAATCTATATACGACTGATGCTACTAGAGAGCACATAATATTGGACCAAATTAACATTCCAGTGACGCATTAGTGTGAACATGTTTGAAAAATTTGATGAGCCACTACTGTTCAACTTTCCTGAATTAAAAAAGAAACTATTGTACTTTTCAAGTATCGCGCCCTCCTTCCTTTTGTTTTCAAGCCAAACAGACCATCCTTAATTTAATTTTTAAAACCAATGAGCTCTCCCCCCCCCCCAAAAAAAAGCGTGAACCAGCTACATATTTGCAGTATTTTAATTTTATCCATTTCAGACATGCCTCATAGTATTACATTTACACAGGAAAGACAAACACAACACTTTAACAAAGATGTTAGATTTACAAACTGTTTCAGTTTAAGTTTAATGCTAGTGTTATGAGTTAGATAGTTTACATAGGGCGAGTGTTAAAATTAGTTATTCTTAGAAGCAATAGTTTATCGCAAGTTTGTTTAGTAACTGTTTACGAATCACACGTTGTGTAGCTCAATAGTTATAAATTGATGATTGTTATATTATTGCATCATGTTACCAGAACCTTCCGAGTTTTTCGTTGTTTCAATTTAGTATTATTGCATCATAATATCTAGTAGTAACCTTCTAGACCTCTGTTGGGATATAAATAAGTGTTGAAAATTTAGTTTGAGAGATAGATAGATCTAGATTGCGTGATTGTGAGTTTAACCATAAAGATCGTATAGTGGCGATTTTAAAGTGAAATTATCACAGACTGTATTTTAATAACAGAATAATTTGTCTTGTCAATTGTATTCTTAAGTAATTTAACCAGCCTGAAGAAAAAGACGAAAAAGAGACAATTATTTAAATCTCTGGATACAACTGTGATAACGAACAGTGTAACGAACATTTGTATATACGTTTGACTTGTTTTATTATATTATTTTAAAACAAGTGTGCTGTGTGCTGTTTGTTTATTGTTGAAATTCATCGCCAACAAGTCATAGACACCTACTGTAAAAGAACCGGCCTATACATAAAACTGGCAAAAGATAAATCAATGATTCAAATGCAAAAATAATTTCTTTAACACTGATTCAGTTCAAAAGACGCAAATACATAGTTAATGCCCCTCAAAAATGAGCGAATAATGGTTATATATTATTACATAAAAATACAAAACAATACAACATAGGAATAAACCCTTTAACAATAGTTTAGCTGGAAAGAAGCAAATACATAGTTAGTGCACTTTAAAAATTAATAATGTTTTTTTAATTATGTTTTCTTTGTTTCATTTTTATCCTAGTGGAGCTCTCAGGCGGTTTCAAATTGCTCAGTGTCGCCCCATCTCTTCTTTCTCACACATTGTTCAGGCCTCCATTCACGCCATTGTTTAAGCCTGTCAGTAGCGATCATGTGTGTAGTTGGACGTGACTAACGTTGGCACCACTGTTTAAAGCTCCAGGCGCTGTCATCATCCATTCAACAGAAAAGCTAATGATATTT